TTGAGCCTGGGTACACAGAACGCCTGGCCGAATAGTCTTAGGGTCAACCCCAGAACAAAATGGACCTTGGCTTCCAAAAGGCAAAAGATGAAAAAGGCTGGCAAAAGGGCTTGCCTTGCAAAAGGGTGCTGGCTCCAGACCCTACACTGGCACCTAAAAACATCCTCATCACCTCCAGGTAGAAGAAAGTGATTGGAGCTTGTGGAGGAGGGTCTCTGCTACACGGGGTTGACTCTGAGATTTCCTGGAAGTGTGGTGGACAGTGGGGAGAGGAGTAAAGGTTGATGGGGCAAAATACAGCTAGTTGGTTACAATCCTCTCACTATTTACTTATTTGTTTGTCTATTTATTTATTGGCCGCAGGATCCTAGTTTCCCGACGGGGGATCGAACCTGGGACCCTGGCAGTGAGAGCACCAAGTCCCAGCCACTGGACAGCCAGGGAATTCCCACGGTCCTCTCACATTTTAAATTATGATGAGTTACCGGGACTTCCTGGTGGTCCAGTGGTAAAGAATCCACCTTCCAATGCCGGGGACGTGGGTTCGATCCCTGGTCAGGGAACTAAGATCCCACATGCCTCGGGGCACCTAAGCCCTTGCGCCACAACTACAGAGCCCACGCACCCTGGAGCCTGCACGCCACAACTAGAAGAGAAGCCCTCACGCCACAACTAGAGAGAAGCCCTCGTGCCGCAACAAAAGATCCCGCATGTCTCAACGAAGATTCTGCGTGCCTCAACGAAGATCCCATGTGCCTCAATTAAGACCTGACACAGCCAAAAATAACTTAATAAATAAATCTTAAAAAAAATAAAGAGTTATCATTTCTGACATTTGCTTTATGTCAGGCCCCAAATGAGGTGATTTCCTTATGTTATTTCTGGTCCTTAACAACTCTCAAGGTGGACCACATGGGTCCATTTATCTATGACTGTGAAATAAACCAACCCAAAGTAAGTGACGTAAAACCACGGCCACTTTATTATGCTTGCAGGTTCTCTGGGTCAGGATTTGGAAAGAGCGGCCTGGGGACAGCTTGTCTTTGTTCTACGATGTCTGGGGCCTTAGCTGACATGTTCCAGCACCAATCCTCCGATACCAAGTGGTGTCCTAAAATACAGTTCAGTTCTGACACTAACTACCTGGGGTGAGCACGGACGCCACAAGTTAAGAGCAGAGTGCTTCACAAGAGTGTCCCCACTTCATCAGACACCAGCCATAAACCCACCTGCACTTCTGTTGAGCCAGTTACAAATTCGATGCTTCCCACAATGCCCACAGGTTTGATAATTAATTAGAATTATTCACCGAACTCAGGAAAGTGCTATATTGACAATTACCATTTTATTATAAAGGATACAAATGAACAACCAGATGAAGAGATACACAGGGTGAGGTCTGGGTGGGTCCTGAGCACAGGAACTTCTGTCCCCATGGAGTCAGGGTGCACCACCCTCCCGGTAGATAGAGATGGTCACCACCCTGGATGGTTTCCCCAGCCTCGATGTCCAGAGTTTTTATCCAGGTTTAATTATGTAGACTTGATTGATGAAGTCATTGGCCTGTGATTGCACTCAATCTCCAGCCCCCCTTCACTCCCTGGAGGATGGTGGGTGAAGCTGAAAGTCCTAGCCCTCTAATCACTTAGTCTTTCTGGTGAGCAGCCACTCCAGGGATTTATGAAATCTGAGCCAGGAACTATGGACAAAGACCAAATATATTTCTTAGTACACGACAGAGTCACTGAACCTCTGAGTCTGAGTAACCTTTTTTTTAAAATTTATTTTATTGAAGTATAGTTGACTTACAATGGTGTGTTAATTTCTGCTGTACAGCAAAGTGATTCAGTTATACATCGATATACACATTGTTTTTCATATTTTTTTCTCTTATGGTTTACCACAGGTTATTGAATATAGTTCTGTGCACTCTACAGTTTATCCATTCTATATATAACAGTTTGGGGACTTCCCTGATAGCGCAGTGGTTAAGAATCCTCCTGCCAATGCAGGGGACACGGGTTTGAGCCCTGGTCCAGGAAGATCCCACATGCCGCGGAGCAACAAAGCCCATGCACCACAACTACTGAGCCTGCGCCCTAGAGCCCTCGAGCCATAGCTGCTGAAGCCTGCACACCACAACTACTGAGACCGCGTGCCACAACTACTGATGCCTGTGCACCTAGAGCCCATGCTCCACAACAAAGAGAAGCCACGGTAATGAGAAGACCGTGCGCCACAACGAAGAGTAGCCCCCCTCGCTGCAACGAAAGCCCGCACCCAGCAACGAAGACCCAGTGCAGCCGAAAATAAATAATTAATTTAAAAAAATAGTTTTCATCTGCTCACCCCAAACTCCCACTCCACCCCTCCTCCCCCTCCCCTCCCCCTTGGGAACCACAAGTCTGTTCTCTATAAGTCTGTTTCTGTTCTACAGATAAATTCGTTTGTGTATATTCTAGATTCCTCATGTAAGTGATATCGTATGATATTTGTCTTTCTCTGTCTGACTTACTTCACTTAGTACGATAATTTCTAGGTCCATCCACGTTGCTGCAGATGGCATTATTTCATTCTTTTATGGCTGAGTAGTATTCCAGTGTAGATATGTACCGTATCTTCTTTAACCATTCATCTGTCGATGGGCATTTAGGTTGTTTTCATGTCTTGGTTATTGTGAATAGTGCTGCTATGAACATAGGGGTGCATATCTTTTTCTGAATTATAGGTTTGTTCCGATATATGCCCAAGAGTGGGCTGGATCGTATCGTATGAGTTACCTTCTATTTGAATGAAGTGTTGTGGCAGAGGAATTTTCCAAAGATGGCCTCAATAACGTCTCCCATTCCACATGCTCTTCTTTTTTTTTTTTGGTACACGGGCCTCTCACTGTTGTGGCCTCTCCCGTTGCGGAGCACAGGCTCCGGACGCGCAGGCTCAGCGGCCATGGCTCACGGGACCAGCCGCTCCGCGGCATGTGGGATCTTCCCGGACCGGGGCACGAACCCGTGTCCCCTGCACCGACAGGCAGACTCTCAACCACTGCGCCACCAGGGAAGCCCCCACATGCTCTTCTTACAATGAGACTTTAACCCTCTTATCATCAAGAGGTGAACTTGAATCTCGGCAAGGGCAGAAGAGACACTATGTGACTTCCGTGTCTATAAAAGGCAATACAGTTTCCTCCGGGCTCCCCCTCTTGGGATATTTGCCCTTGGGACTTGCCATGCTGTAAGGAAGCCCAAACACATGAAGAGGCTTCATGGAGGTATCCCACTGACAGCCCCAGCTGAGGTCCCCCAGACAGTATCAACACTAGGCATGAGAGTGATGGGTCTCCATATGATTCTGGCCCCAGCCATTGAGACTTCCCAGCTGTGGTATAATAATAAATATTGTATATGGTCTTTATCCCCATTCTTGGCACAGAACTTCAAAAACCCTTGGAATTTCCTAAGTGATATGAGTTTCTTTTTTATTCGAATGACTGACCCATTGTGGCCTCTAGCTAGCTTCGAGAAGGCAGTCACCAGAAAGACCAATCATGTAAAATTTTTAGCCCCCCATTCTCCAGGGAGAGAAGAGCTCTGTTAAAAACTCTTGAGGGACTTTCCTGGCGGTCCAGTGGTTAAGTCTCTGTGCTTCCACTGCAGGGGGCTTGGGTTCGATATTTAGCTGGGGAACTAAAGATCCCACATGCTGCGCGGCACGGCCAAAGGAAAATAAAATAAAAACTCTTGAACCACAAGATCTGGAGAACTTCCAGATTGCAGCCACATGTCAGGAGGGTAACACGCTCCAGCTCCACAGGTCCTGCACTTGGACCCTTCTTGACTTAGTACCTCTTCATCTGGCTGTTCATTTGCATCCTTTACAATAAACCAGCAAACATAAGTGTCCTCCTGAGTTCTGTGAGTCAATCTAGCAAATTACCAAATCTGGAGAGGGGGGCCATGAGAACCCGAAGTCTGTAGTTGGCCAGGCAGAAGTGTGGGTAGCCTGGGCTCCCCATTTGCAGCTGGGTCTAAAGTGAGGGCAGTCTGAGCCCTTTAGCTTGCAGGTAAATGGTATCAGCCCTTTAACTCCAGGCAGACAGTATCAGCATTAAATTGAATTGTTGGTTGCACAGTTGATGCCAGTGAGTTGGTTGTTGATGTGGGAAAAACTTCACGCAGACTCCCCTGGGCCATAAGCTTCTAAGTGCTGGCTCTGAGATCTAAATCCAATCTACCTGGGTTCAAGGCACTCTATCTACATTATTGCACTGTGATACCAAAACCCCTAAAGTAAAATCCCTTTGCATATCAACTTCTCTCCTCTAGTGGCCAGCTAACCATCATCGGACCTGCCATGATCCCCTTGATGCTCCTTGATCCTCTTTTATCATCCTTTAAACCATTTATTCTCAAATTTTATTTCTGCCAAGAAACTAAGGATAGATGTGTTCCCATGAACAGTGTGCTCCCTTTGGGGTCCCAGTTCACAGGCTGTGGCACAGATGAGGGAGCTCCGGGGATGTTCTATGGCACTAATATTAATCCCACACTTTTTTCTTCACTCTAAAGCACACTGAGAGCACAAGTGGGGAGAGGGGACGTATTATTGGGATAACATTGCAATCCACCATAAAATGTATAAAAAATGAACCCTTTGCCACATTTGGTACTTAAATATTTTTCCTAATAATCACCAACCAGCCAGCTTTGCCACTGGCGGAGGCACCATGGTTCGGGTCCACAGCTTCAGACACTTGGATGTGGTAGACCTGCCATGTCAACAGGTAAATTTTCTTTCTACAAATCCAACTTGCAACCATCCCTATATTGGTTGTTGTATTGTTCACTCACGTTACATATTTTCCTTAAAACCTGAAGGTCTTTTATCAGATGCAATGTGGCTCTAACCTCCTTCTGTTCAACAGTTTTTATTCAGTATTTATTTATTTACTTTTTTGGCAGCACTGTGCGGCTTGTGGGATCTTAGTTCCCCAACCAGGGATTGAACCCGGGGCCACGGCAGTGAAAACGCCAAGTCCTAACCACTGGACCGCCAGGGAACTCTCTATATTCACTAATTTTCAGCCCGGCATTCCTGTCCCCTCCCAGGTAGGTCATTCCTTTGTCTTCTTCCACTGGAAATCTCTACATCCTCTTTTATTGATTCTTCCCTGCTTGTTCACATCTTCCAAGGCTAAAAGCCTCTTCAATAGGCTCCTAATGAAGAAGAAGTTCACAAGATGTGCTGTCTCAGGTGCAGTGACTCAACTCAGGAGTCCAATCATCTTAGTCTTCTAGGGCTGCCATAACAAAATACATAGATGGGGTGGCTTAAACAACAGAAACTTATTTTCTCACAGTTCTGGAGGCTGGAATCCTGTTTTGATTCTTGGTGAGGGCCCTCTTCCTGGCTTGCAGACAGCTGCCTTCTTGCTGCATGCTCACATGGGGTAGAGAGAGAACAAGCTCTCCTGTATCTCTTATAAGGACGCTAATCCCATCATGGGGCCCCCACCCTCTCATGACCTCATCTAAATCTAATCAGTTCCCAAAGGCCCCACCTCCAGATGCCACCACATTGGGAGTTAGGGCTTCAAATACAAATTTTGGGAAGACACAGTGTTGTCCATAGTACTGATGGATGCATGGTAGAAGCTGACAAAGCTTTTAAGCTTGAGCAACATCTCCCCCAGGGCTAGCTGGCAGTGCAAATGGGGAAACACAGTCAATTGTTCCAAAGAGCTTTCTATTCAGATTTCCCAGTTTCCCATTTCTCTCATGCATGCAACGTAGAACAGAAGGGCTTGGAAGATAGGCTACCTAGGGTTTGAATCATAGTTTCTCTACTTACTAGCTGTGTGACCTTAGGCATGTAGCTTAACCTCTCTGTGCCAATAATGATACCTACCTTATAGCATATTTGGGGTCGGGGGGCATTATATGACATATGAAGGTAATGTGCTCAGCACTTATTGAGCCTTTTAAAAAATGTTAGCTATTATTCTTCCCATCTAATAGTAGAAGTAAGCTTGTTGAAAAAGTATAAAAAGTAGTCTCTTGTTGAAAGAGTATAAAATGTAGAAAAGGAAAGAGAAAGGGAAAGGTAAGAGTGGGAGGGAAAAACTGGTGTGGAGAGGCAGTTAGGACAAGTCTCTGGCAGGATTTACCCACTGCCCTGAAGCAGTGCTATCCAATAGAAATGTAATGCAACCCACACATGTGAGCATGAATCAAAACACACATGTATAATAATTTTAATTTTTCTAGTAGACACATTAAAAAACTAAAAAGAGGGAATTCCCTGGTTGTCCAGTGGTTAGGACTCGGTGCTTTCACTACCAGGGCCCGGGTGCAATCCCTGGTCAGGGAACTAAGATCCCACAAGCTGCACAGCATGGCCAAACAAACAAACAAAAACACAAACATCAACAATAACAAAAAAATGTAAATAGAGACTGGTGAAATTAATTTTAATATCTTTTTTTAAACCCAATTTATTTAACTCAATATATAATAATATATTTTATGCAATGCAATATTTAACACAATATATTGACTACTGTATGAAATCAATCTAAAAATATTAATGTGACATTTTACATTCTTTATTCATACTGTCTTTGAAATCCAGGGTGTATTTCATGCTTACAGTACATCCTTTTTTTTTTTTTCCCCATGATTGTACCATAGTGTATTTGCATATTTTGAGCCGCTTCAGTTATTTTGCCGTGATGGCGGTGAACATATGGACATCCTTGCACATAAATTAGTCTGTTAATTTCCATAGAAGTGGAATTCCCAGGTCAAAGAGTGGAACATTCTTAGAATCTTTTAGACCTGATGTATTTTGCAAGCTGCTTTCCAGAAAAACTTTCCATGTTTATATTCCCATCAGCTATGAATGATTACCATCAAAAAACAAAACTTTGTTGAATTGTAGTAAACAGTTTTTAAAATTTGCCTTAATGTAATTTATTTCTTTAATACGTTTATTTATTTAATTTATTTATTTTTGGCTGAGTTAGGTCTTTGTTGCTGTGCCCGGGCTTTCTCTAGTTGCGGCGAGCGGGGGCTACTCTTCGTTGCAGTGGGCGGGCTTCTCATTGTGGTAGCTTCTCTTGTTGCAGGGCGCGGGCTCTAGGCACGTGGGCTTCAGTAGTTGTGGCACTTGGGCTCAGTAGTTGTGGCACACAGGCTTAGTTGCTCCACGGCATGTGGGATCTTCCCGGACCAGGGCTCAAACCCATGTCCCCTGCATTGGCAGGCGGATTCTTAACCACTGCGCCACCAGGGAAGCCTGCCTTTATGTAATTTAATTTAAAAACTCTTAATGGTGCTTTTAATTTGCTTTCTTTTGATAACTAGAGAGAATGAACACTTTAATGTTTATTAGCCATCTGTATTTCTTCTGAGAATTGCTCATTCTATTATTGGGGTATTAGCATAGTATCAATATTATCAATTTTGGGTGTACATTATATGTAATCTTTATGGAAAATAATTTCCCATTTTTATGTGGTTTTAAATTTTATTTATATCTATGATTTTTTAAAAGCTAAAGCTTTTTACAGATTTACAACTAGTAGATAAATAAGTCCTGAAGAGCTAATCTACAGCAGAGTGATCAGAGCCAACAATACTGTATTATAAGCTTCAAGTTGCTAAGAGAGTGGATCTTAATTATTCCCACCACAAAAACAAAATAATTATGTGACAAGATAGAGGTGTTAGCTAACATATGATGGTAATAATATTGAAGTATATAAATGTATCAAATAAACACTTTGTTTACCTTAAATCTGCACAATGTTATGTTAAATTTATTTTTTTTTTTTTTTTTTTTTTTTTTTTTGCCACACTGCTGCAGCTTGCGGGATCTTAGTTTCCCCACCGGGGGTCGAACCCAGGCCCCCAGCAGTGAAAGCATGGAGTCACCGAGTCCTAACCACTGGACCGCCAGGGAATTCCCAATTATATCTAAATAAAAATACATTTTTCAAAAATAATGTTTGTGAAAGTACCTAGCAGAGTATCTGGCATAAATATAATTTATTTTCCTTTTTTAAATTAATATTTGTCAAAAAAAAGCTTTAAATTTTTTTTTAAAAGGTCTCATTTTCTTGGTGGCTTCTTCTGTCGTTCATATTCTTAGACACTCAGGGGCCATCTGAAGGTCACCTAGGTTTTCTGTATTTGCCCTTGCTTTTAATTTTTTCATCTTTCAGGAGTTAATTTTGATATATGAAGTGAGGTATCAACATTTATTCCCCTACCCACCCATTACAGCCAGTTTCCTTACAGCCCGTCTTCATTCAGGCAAGCCCCATTTCAAGTGCTTGTGACCACGTGTGGCCAGCAGGGACCGGGTTGGCTAGCACAGGTCTACCGTTTCAGACATTCACTCTCACGTCCCTGAGTATTTGCCATGACTTGCAGGCGCCATGTAGAGAGGATATTTTTAGCAGTTGTTGACACATCGAGGCTCCAGGCAGCAATCATCCAGCTCGTGGCTGCATCAGTATCCTTCCCTTGTCATGACGTCACCTGATTTCTTTTAAGGCGTCGGAGCACTCCTTTTAGCTTCTCACTTGAGGGCTGATATTTAAGGGCCTGTTTTGGTTCCATCTTCAGTTTTGAATTCATGTAACCCATGGCAACCCTGAGGCTCCTGGAGCTGACTGCTGTATTCAGTTTCCACAAGGCTGAGTTGAGAAGTGGGAAAAGGAGTTGGCCACAGCGTGGAAAATGGCGGTAGGGCCACAGGGAGATAAAGCTTTGGCAAACTTGATGGCTCGTTAACCACACAAACCCTCTGAGGGGCATGTGACTCTCCCTCAGAGCTTTCATTAGTGGAATGAAGTCCCGAGAGCAGAGTTAATGAGCCCAGGATCTGGGGGTTGGGCTCCCCATGAGCCACCCGGCTGCATATGGATAAACCATGTTTTCACAGCCACATCACCCACCTGGGTCAGTCTCTCAAAACCGTGCTCTTACAATTATGCCTGGGGGATGGCTTGAACAGGGCCACTGCCCAACTCCAGAAGGTCCCATTACCATTGCATTTTATAGAGATTGGTACATCCTAGACTATGTATCTTCTTGGAATACAACAAGGAATATGTGCCCCTCCCCATTTGTACAACCTGCCTCCCTACTTGACGAGGCAATTTGGAAAAGGAGTCAAGAGATCTGGCTCTGATCCCAACTCCGTCACTGACCAGTTCTGTGACCTCTCTCTGAGGCCATTTTCCTCATCATAAAGAGTGATTCCATGGGTTGATTTGGATTTTGAGGGATTCTTCTTTGTGGGTGCTCTAGCACCCTCCAGTTCTTTGTGTTCATGTTTTTGAGAGTAAAGGACCACCCTTGGGAAGACAGCTGAAAAGAGAATGGATTGGTAGATAGCATCATCTTCATGTACCTCTTTATAAACAGCAGCCCAGGGCCTACAGGACTAAACCCAAGTCTCTTTGAAGGTCCCTAAGGTCCCACCCTCTCCAAACTCATGCCCCACTTCTCCATCTCTCTCATCCGGTGTTGTAATTATAACATCTTCTCAAGGCCTCAGTACCCCCCAGTCTGTAACTCCGTTTTTCCTCCAGCTCTTTCCTCTTCCCCTCTTGAAGTGGGAAACCCTCCTACAGATTCAACTTCGATGCTGACTCCTACAGGGAGGCCTCTCTGACTCACTCTGGCTGAGTCAAAGCTCCTAAGACACAAAACTTGAATACAATTCACTCCATTCCTGAGTGTGGGCAGGCAGAACGTGAGTGTCGACAGAGCCTCATTCCTCATGTTCTCATGCCTCCTAGGACAACCCCTACCCATAGGGATTCTCCTGTGAATTCCAGTTTTTCTATTTGCAACTCTGCATTACCTTTGCATTAAACAGGAAAAAAAAAGTAAGATAAATGATTATGGACTCAATGCAGATTATACTCAGTGATGGATGCCTGAATTCCCAATCTCAAGTTCTCTTTGAGTTTTGAGGATAGAACCCTATGCTTCAAGCTGCCATTTAACCCAGCCTGCCCTGTCCTTCACCTTAATCACTCATTATATCAGTTAGGTTTGGCAAGAGAGGAATGCTAAAATTTCTTTTGAATTTA